GACCTGAGCTGAAGGCAGACGCTTAACCGACTGAGTCACCCAGGTGCCCCAAGACAATAATTATTTTAAAGAGACTAAGCTAGGGGCGCCTGGGAGGCTCAATCAATTGGTTGAGCGTCTGCCTTCAGCTCAGGTCATGATCCCAGGGTGCTGGGATCAGCCCCGCATTGTGCTCCCTGCTCAGTGGGGAGCCTGCTTCTTCCTCTGCTTCTCCCTCTGCCTGCCGCTCCCCCTGCTTGTACTCTCTCTGTCTCAAATAAATAAATAAAATCTTTAAGGAAAAAACAGCTTGATAAGTAAAAAATGGTAAGGCAGTGTTCTGGACTAAAATAAACAAAAGCTATTTAACTGAGGAAATGTGTGAGCCTTGATTGGTCCCTGGATTGGGAAGGGAAAATAAAGTTATAACATGTCTTAGAACCGGGGCTCCTGGGTGGCTCAGTTGTTGAGCGTCTGCCTTCGGCTCAGGTCATGATCCCAGGGTCCTGGGATCGAGCCCCGCATCGGGCTCCCTGCTCAGTAGGAAGCCTGCTTCTCCCTCTCCCACTCCCCCGTGCTTGTGTTCCCTCTCTTGCTGTGTCTTTCTCTGTCAAATAAATAAAATCTTAAAAAAAAAAGACATGTCTTAGAACCATCAGGGAAATTTGAATGAAATTAGTGGACTATTTGTTAGATGATACTATTGAATTATTACTTTTCTTAGTGTGATTATTTTATTTTGGTTATGTAGGAGAATGTCCTTAAATCATAGGAGAGACATGCTGAAGTAGGGAAGTTAAATGTCATATTACTTTCAAATGATTCAATGAAAGAAATATGTAAATAATGAGAAAGCAAATGTGGCAAAATGTTAAAAATTATGAATCTCCATTTATATAACTAATGTTCTTGAAATGACAGTTGTTGAAACAGAGAACAACCTATCAGTGGTTGCCAGGGGTAGGGAGGCAGAGAGGAAGTGAGTGTGGCTATGAAGTATAATAGGAAGGATACTAGGGGCGCCTGAGTGGCTCAGTCAGTTAAGCGTCTGCCTTCGGCTCAGGTCATGATCCCAGGGTCCTGGGATCGAGCTCCACATCAGGCTCCCTGCTCAGTAGGAAGCCTGCTTCTCCCTCTCCCACTCCCCCTCTCCCCCTCTCTCTCTGTCAAATAAATAAAATCTTAAAAAAAAAGTAGGAAGGATACTTCTGTTGATGAAAATTTGTGTTTCTGGGCCATAACATTGTTAGCATCCTGGTTGTGATACCATAGTATGGTTTTGCAAGATGTTACTATTGGGGGAAAGTGGGTAAAGGATACAAAGAATCTCTCAATTTTTTTTTTAAGACTTATTTATTTTAGAGAGAAAAAGAATGCACGTTCATGTGCAGGGGGAGGGGCAGAGGGAAAGAAGCAGACTTCCCACTAAGCACGGGGCCAGACTAGCATGGGGCTCAATCTCACAACCCCTGAGATCATGACCTGAGCCAAAATCAAGAGTGGGATGCTCAACCGACTGAGCCACCCAGGTGCCCCTCAATATTATTTCTTACAGCTGCATATGAATTTACAAGTATCTTAGAATAAAAAGCTTAATGTAAAAAACAGTGAATCTAGGTGAAGACAATGTGGGTGTTCATTGTATTTTTTTTTTATTTTTTTAAAGATTTATTTATTTGAGAGAGAAAAAGAACATGAGCAGGAGGGGCAGAGGGAGAGAGAATTTTAAGCAGACTCTATGTGGAGTGCAGTGCCTGATGTGGGGCTCAATCTCAGGACCCTGAGATCACATTCTGAGCCAAAACCAAGAGTTGGATGCTCAACCGACTGCACCACTAGGTGCCCCTGGGTGTTCATTTTCATCGTATATTCTTTCAGCTTTTCTGTAGGTATGAAAATTTTCAAAATTGAAAGTTGGGGGAGGGAGTTGGAGGAAAAAAGGTCCAAAAAAATCAAAAGAAAGCTAGCTAGCTAGCTTGCTTGCTTGCTTGCTTGCTTTCAAAAGGATTTTACTTATTTGTCAGAGAGAGAGAGCATAAGCAGGGGGAGCGGCAGGCAGAGCAGGGCAGAGGAAGAAGCAGACTTCCTGCTGAGCAAGGAGCCTGATGAGGGACTCAATCCCAGCATCCTGGGATCATGACCTGAGCCCAAGGCAGCCGCTTAACCGACTGAGCCATCTAGGCGTCCCAAAAGAAAGTTTTCTAAGTGGGAAATACTGGTAAATTGTAGAGGACAGTTTCTGAAGACTGATCTTGATTAAGTACAACTTGTATTTTGAGTTCAGTACTTCAGGGAAAAGCAAGAAATGTCATGATTAATTTGAGAGTAAATGAAGCTAAAATAATCCATAGCATTATAGCTGGTTATGCCTTCTCAAGGTGCCTTCCTTCCCTCCCTGCATTCCTATTCCCAAAGTCTTTATAATGATGATGATGGCAGCATTGAATAAATGTGAAAAGGGCTGAAAGATTTATTTTTTTTTAAAGATTTTATTTATTTATTTGACAGAGACACAGTGAGAGAAGGAACACAAGCAGGGGGAGTGGGAGAGGGAGAAGCAGGCTCCCCACTGAGCAGGGAGCCCGATGCGGGGCTCGATCCCAGGACCCGGGGATCGTGACCTGAGCTGAAGGCAGCCGCTTAACGACTGAGCCACTCAGGCACCCCAGGGCTGAAAGATTTAAAGGATTTAACATTTTTTTATGGTCCCTTGAAACACTAGATGCTACATTTTTATCAGCTCTGTAGATGTAGTTACCTTTTATTCTTTTTTTTTTTTTTAAAGATTTTATTTATTTATTTGACAGAGAGAGACACAGCGAGAGAGGGAACACAAGCAGGGGGAGTGGGAGAGGGAGAAGCAGGCTTCCTGCCAAGCAGGGAGCCCGACGTGGGGCTCAATCCCAGGACCCTGGGATCATGACCTGAGCCGAAGGCAGACCCTTGACTGAGCCACCCAGGTGCCCGTTACCTTTTATTCTTACTAACTTTTATAACTTTATTGTCTCCTTTCCTTTAAATAAATAATTAAAAGCTCAGGTATGTTTCTTAGTGTTGAATGGAAACTATGTTTTGTGGCTACTGCTATGTAATTTTACAGAGGAAACTTAAAAGTTTGTGAAAACTGGATAAGCATGATGTTGTCTCCAGAGTGTGATATTATGGTTTAGGTTCTTGTCACTTATCTGACATCAAGGCCTCAAATCCCAAGGATAAGAAAGATTTCTGCCAGCCCCTCTCCCAAAAAATCATCTACCACAGTATATAAATGAGGCTTAGTCCAGAAAGATCTCTTGTGAACAAGAAAAGATGGGATCATTTGACTGCATTGTGCTCACAAATGTTGGGATCAGTGATGCTTCTTCTTTCATGAAAGAAAAAGTATTATTTTGGGATGCCTGGGTGGCTCAGTCGGTTGAGTGTCTGCCTTTGAGTCCCCTCATGGGGTTCCTTGCCCAGCGGGAAGCCTGCTTCTCCCTCTGTCTGCTGCTCCCCCTGCTTGTGCACGTACGCTCGCTCGCGCTCTCTCTGGCAAATACAATTTTTTTTTTTTTTAAAGATTTTATTTATTTGACAGACAGCAAGAGAGGGAACACAAGAGAGGGAGTGGGAGAGGGAGAAGCAGGTTTTCCGCCGAGCAGAGAGCCCGATGCAGGCTCGATCCCAGGACCCTGGGATCATGCCCTGAGCTGAAGGCAGGCGCTTAACGACTGAGCCACCCAGGTGCCCCTGCAAATACAATTTTTTAAAAAGATGTATTTATTTAGTTTGAGAGAAGGGAGAGACTCTCCTGCAGACTCCCCTCTGAATTCAGAGCCAGATGAGGGGCTTGATCCCACCACCCAGAGTTCATGACCTGAGCCAAAACCCAAGAGTTAGACATTCAACCAACTGAGCCACCCAGGCACCCCAGAAAAAGTATTTTTTTTTTTTGAAGCATTTGTCAGAACAGTTAAAAGTGTTGAACTCGAGTAGTTTTAGACTTTATTTAGCAGAGATTTTTGTGTTTACTTTGGAATTTGGTTTTTAAATAAAAAATATCGGGGCACCTGGGTGGCTCAGGTGTTAAGCGCCTGCCTTTGGCTCAGGTCCTGATCCCAGGGTCCTGGGATCGAGCCCCACATTGGGCTCCCTGCTCAACGGGAAGCCTGCTTCTCCCTCTCCCACTTCCCCTGCTTGTGTTCCCTCTCTCGCTGTGTCTCTCTCTGTCAAATAAATAAAATCTTTAAAAAAAAAAATTAATTTTGAAACACTGAATTGTGGGGCAGGAATCATTAATCTTAAAGGGTATATGGATACTTAATCATGTTAAGGAAGCTTTTTAAATGTGTTAATCTTGGCTTTTGGATTTCTAAGCCTATGGAAGTATTCTTGGCCTGAAAATGTTTTGTTTTGTTTAAAGATTTTATTTATTTATTTGACAGAGACACAGTGAGAGAGGGAACACAAGCAGGGGGAGTGGGAGCGGGAGAAGCAGGCTTCCCGTTGAGCAGGGAGCCTGATCCGGGACTCGATCCCGGGACTCTGGGATCATGACCTGAGCCGAAGGCAGTCGCCCAACCAACTGAGCCACCCAGGCACCCTTAAAGTAGTTTTCTAATTGTTAAATGTTACTATATTCCAACTGGGTTATAAACTTTTTGAAGGTATTATATATATATTTATAATCTTTGGTCTCCAGAGTCTGGCGTAATTTCTTGAATATGTAGGACTTTGATATATTGCTGGGGGGCAGATCTCATCTTTTTAAGTGAACACAACATTCTCAGCCCAGGATGGACAGAGCTGTAATCTTTACATAAGTGATGGTGGGTTTTCATTGTGCTTGACCATGGCTAAGGGAAACATTTCTTTAAGTTTTTGGTGGAGTGGCTTCTAACTCACTTATAACCCTAATATGCCATTGTTGTTGAGAAAGCCCTAACTGTGGCACCTTCATTAGGAAGAAGACAGAAGAAAACTAGGGCATGTTTACTGTACGACTTTATTTCTAAACAACTGTAAAACTTTTGTGCTTGCAGATCAGGGAGCAGAGAAACATGAAGGGACAAGTCAGTCCTCTGGGATTACTGATCAAGAGAAGGAGTTGTCCACCAGCGCTTTCCAAGCTTTCACAGTAAGCAGTGATTTTTTCTTTTGGCTCCCATTTTTAGAATCTGTCGAATATGAATCTTTCCACAATGAATTTTTAAATTTATAATTTTTGTTCTGTAATAATTCAAGAATTAAGTTTAGAGAGTAGGTTTAGTTTTAATATTTAAAAAATTAGAGTTTAGGGCGCCTGGGTGGCTCAGTTGGTTAAGCGACTGCCTTCGGCTCAGGTCATGATCCTGGAGTCCCGGGATCGAGTCCCACATCGGGCTCCCTGCTCAGCAGGGAGTCTGCTTCTCCCTCTGACCCTCCTCCCTCTCATGCTGTCTCTCATTCTCGCTCTCAAATAAATAAAGTCTTAAAAAAAAAAAAAAAGAAATAGTAAACCTTTAAAAAATAAATAAATAAAAAATAAAAAAAAATAAAAAATTAGAGTTTAAATATGGTAAAAGGAGTGGGAGTAATTTGAGCCATTACCAAGTTTTTGTGTTGTCATAAACATGTTTTAACTCTTACAGTGTTGTTTTTTGTTGTTTTTTTTGAAAGATTTTATTTTTTTATTTGACAGAGAGAGACAGCGAGAGAGGAACACAAGCAGGGGGAGTGGGAGAGGGAGAAGCAGGCTTCCCGCCGAGCAGGGAGCCCGAGGCGGGGCTCGATCCCAGGGCCCTGGGATCATGACCTGAGCCGCAGGCCGATGCTTAACGACCGAGCCACCCGGGCGCCCCTTACAATGTTGTTTTTAAGTCTTTAAAACTTAGGGTCGCCCGGGTGGCTCGGTCGTTAAGCATCGGCCTGCGGCTCAGGTCATGATCCCAGGGCCCTGGGATCGAGCCCCGCCTCGGGCTCCCTGCTCGGCGGGAAGCCTGCTTCTCCCTCTCCCACTCCCCCTGCTTGTGTTCCTCTCTCGCTGTCTCTCTCTGTCAAATAAAAAAATAAAATCTTTCAAAAAAAAGTCTTTAAAACTTAGATTTGTAAATATGTGGGTCACTCTTTTCAATTCACTGCTTTATTCAGTTCTTTTTCTTGAATATGCTTTAAAATGGAACTCCAGGGGCGCCTGGGTGGCTCAGTTGGTTAAGCGACTGCCTGTGGCTCAGGTGATGATCCTGGAGTCCCAGGATCGAGTCCCGCATCGGGCTCCCTGCTCGGCAGGGAGTCTGCTTCTCCCTCTGACACTCCTCCCTCTCCTGCTCTCTCTCTCATTCTCTCTCTCAAATAAATAAATAAAATCTTTAAAAAAAAAAAAATGGAACTCCAAAGGTTTCTTGTCAAAACTTTAACTTCTCTGACATTAAACAATATGAAAAAAAACCTTATTTGATTATCAAGTTACATGTATGCAGAAGAATTTGATACTGGGCGCCTGGGTGGCTCATTCATTAAGCATCTGCCTTCGGCTCGGGTCATGATCCCAGGGTCCTGGGATCGAGCCCCACGTCGGGCTCCATAATCAGCTGGAAGCCTGCTTCTCCCTCTCCCACTCCCCCTGCTTATGTTCCCTCTCTCAATGTGTCTCTGTCAAATAAATAAATAAATAAATAAATAAATAAATAAATAAATAAATAAATCTTTTCAAAAAAAGGAATTTGATACTTGGGTATTCCAAGTGTATTTACTGGAAATTAAAAATTAGAATAATTAATCATATTACCTTTCTTGGCCAGTGTCAGCTACTATGTCCTACTAGCAATATACAACTATATACATACATGTTTGTGTGTATATAGCATGTTGTTTTATACATGTATAGAGATATATGGTATACCTGTGTCTCTATGTATGTGTCTTATACAAGTATTGGTGTTAGAGTTTGAGTCTTAGGAAATATCTACAATTTTTTTTCCAGCTTTATTGAGATATAATTGACATATCCCAGTTTCTTAATTGATATGAATATTGCTTCATCTAGTCACTTTAATTAGTAGGGGATTTGTAGGTCCTTTTATTTTTCTTTCCTTTTTTTTTGTTGTTGTAGGTCTTTTTAAAGAGTCTTTTTTTTTTAAGTCTTTATTTGTCAGAGAGAGCACAAGCAGGGGGAGTGGCAGGCAGAGGGAGAAGCAGGGGAGCCTGATGTGGAGCTCGATCCTAGGACCCTGGGATCATGACCTGAGCTGAAAGCAGACACTTAACTGACTGAGCCACCGAGGCACCCCTTTAAAGAGTTTTTCAATGAAGAGTGAAATATATTTGGAAATGAATGTATAGTTTTAAAGCTGATAAATAATTCTGTCTGTTTTTTTGTCTTAGGCTGGAAATTATGATGCCTGTCTGCAACACCTTGCTTGCCTACAAGAAGTAAACAAAGATGATTATAAAATAATTTTGAATACAGCAGTGGCTGAGTTTTTTAAAAATAACCAAATGACAACAGATAGTTTGAGACAAACACTTAACCAGCTGAAGAATCAGGTGATATGCAAATGAATTTAGCTATAAAAATACTGTGGTATTCTCTCAATTGTGCAATAGAAATACTTAAGGAAAATTAATAGGACATGTCTGATATTGATAGCACAATTTCTAGTGTATCTAAAACACTTGCATTAATTTTATAAAATTATTATTCCAGGAAATGGAAGGTATGTTGTATAATTTTATTTTCTATTGTATTTTTAAATTGAAAAGAATAGATTAATATACCAAATTTGAATGAGCTTTGGAGTGTTGAGAAAAAATTAAAGTGGAAATATATGAAAAAGCTTAACCGCTGAGATTATCCTTTTTTTATAACTGCAAAGATCTGATTATTTATAATGTCAAATTGTTTTAGCACTTTGGATCAGGACATGATTAATTGATTAAATAGAAGATATTCTGATTCATATATGGTTTGGGGCTTGTCTTGGAACATTGGTCATAACAGCAACATTTCTCACATCACAGAGTTAGAGCTTTGATAGTCAAAAGGGCTGATGATGAGGATGATAATAGTATCAGATAGCAGACGTTTATTGCTTATTATGGAACAAGGCCCTGCTAAGAACTTTGTATGCAGCATGTCACTTATTCTTCCCAGTAGTCCTATGAAACAGCTACTATAATTTTTCTCATTTTACAGATGGGAAAGCTGAGGTACAGATAGCTTGTATAAATTGTCCAAAGACACAAAGCTCTTAAATGAAAAGAGCTCCATCAACCCAGTCCTGTTTGACTCTAGGGTCTGTGCTTCTGATTACTGCTTCATACTGTAGAAGGTCTTAAGACCTTTTTGAGCGCCTGTCCTTGTTCGTGAATACCGCTATATAGTAATCACCCTAATATGTGATATAGTTAGAAATAAGTGACCCCTTCAGGGTCTTCATAATTTTTTATAGGAGTAAAGCTACTTTACAGTATCACCCTAAACGTGGTATTGTTAGAAATAAGTAACCTGTTCACGCTCTTCCTAATTCTTTACAGGAGTGATTTTTCAACCCTATTATAGTTCCTCAATGAAAATGAGAATAGGGGCGCCTGGGTGGCTCAGTCGTTAAGCGTCTGCCTTCAGCTCAGGTCATGATCCCAGGGTCCTGGGATCGAGCCCCGCATCGGGCTCCCTGCTCGGCAGGAGGCCTGTTTCTCCCTCTCCCACTCCCCTTGCTTGTGTTCCTGCTCTCGCTATCTCTGTCAAATAAATAAATAAAATCTTTAAAAAAAAAAAAAAAAAGAAAAAAGAAAATGAGAATAATAGGGGTGCCTGCCTGGCTCAGTTGGTAGAGCATGCAATTTTTTTTTATTATTAACATATAATGTATTTGTTTCAGGGGTACAGGTGTGTGATTCATCAGTCTTACATAATACACAGTGCTCACCATAGCATGTACCCTCCCCAATGTCCATTACCCAGCCCCCCCATCCCCCCACACCCCTCCACTCCAGCAACCCTCAGTTTGTTTCCTGAGATTAAGAGTCTCTTATGGTTTGTGTCTCTCTCTGGTTTCATCTTGTTTCATTTTTTCCTGTCTTCCCCTATGATCCTCTGCCTTGTTTCTGAAATTCCACATATCAGTGAGATCATATGATAATTGTCATTCTGTGATTGACTTATTTCACTTAGCATAATACCCTCTAGTTCCATCCATAGAGCATGCAGTTCTTGATCTCGGGGTCATGAGTTCAAGCCCCACCTTGGGTGTAGAGATTACTTTAAAAAAAAAATAAAAGAAAATGAGAATAATAGCCAACGTTTATTAAACACTTATGTGATTCCAAATTCCATATTAAATGCTTTTTATGTTTTATCTCATATAATCCTCACATTCAACCCTTAAGATAAGTACTTGTTACCTCAGTTATAAAACTGGGATTTAGGGAGCCTAATAATTTTAATTTATATAGCCAGGAAGGGGAGGAGCAAGATTTGAACCAGACTGTCTGAGTTGTTTTGTTTTTTTTTTTTAAAGTAAACTCTGCATGTGGGGTTTGAACTCACGACCCCAAGATCAAGAGTTACATGCTCTACAGACTGAGCCTTCCAGGCACCCCCAGACCATCTGACTTTTGAGCCTGTTTTCATAGCTACCCCAGTCTTCATAAATTTAGATGATATCACATTTCTTTATTTCTCTAGTCTTAGTAACTGTGACTTTATCTGGAGCTCCAGAATCAAAGGAAAGATGATGTTTGTGGATATCTAGTACACATGTCCTATGACCCCATAGACTGTTTCTTCCAGGGAACATTTATTTGGTCTTTGAGCACAAGTTCATCCTTAAAACCCTATTTTAGAGTAAGAGACTCCTGCAAACTTCCTATTAAGCCAAGAAAACTGCTTTTTGAAATCCTTTCACCAGTCCTAATTCTTTTTTTTTTTCTTTTGCTTTCATTCTTGATAAGGCTGATTCAATAATCCCCCTCACGCCATCCAACTCTCTTGCGTTTCCTAGAAGTGTTTGTACCTGTGTCTCCTAGCTTTATCTAAATCACACTTCCATTCAGAGTCTTCTGTCCTTGGCATAGTTACATACCTTTACAACCTATTCCATCTTTATTAATATTTTATCTCATTTAATGAGTAGTTTTTGTTCTGGCTGGGGCAAATACTAGATGTTTTTGGTAAGTCCTAGAAGATGTTGCTGTTATTTATGTCATATGTTCAACCATTTTTGCTTTGTTTTGGTTTTGTTTTTTAAGAAGAAAGAATTTATTTATTTATATTCTTCATTTGCTAGAGAGAGAGCAAGAGAGCACTCACACGCGCACACACAAGCAGGGGGAATGGCAGGCAGAGGAAGAAGCAAGCTCCCTGCTGAGCAAGGAGCCCGATGTGGGACTCAATTCCAGGACCTGGGGATCACGACCCGAGCTGAAGGCAGATGCCTAACCGACTGAGTCGCCCAGGTGTCCCTACTTAAATAAAATCTTTAAAAAAAAAAAAAAACCAAGTCTTAAAAACAGACCCATAGCAGTCCCTGCCATTTGACAGCAAACTCCCAGCGCCCAGCAACTAGTAATCTGCTTTGTCTATGTATTTGCCTACTTTGGCTATTTTGTATAGGTGAATGTTCAACCATTTTTGAATCCAAAATTCCTTAATTTGTCCCAAACCCCCTTTTCTGGCTAAGAATTAACCCTTTCTTAGCTCATTCTCTCTCCATTATATTGCTACCAAGAAGTACTATTTTTCTTAGTCACTTGAAGACTATGACTTGGTAAGTGAAGATTATACAGAACCTGCAAACTCAACAGAGATGCAAGTGCTTGTGGTCAGAGAGGACCAGTTATTAACATTTGAACCGCCCTGTCAAGCTCACCATGTGGATGACGGAAGTCTCAGGTGTCTGATTACAAATTGCTCTGTCATGAACCTTCTGCTTCCTTGCCATCAGCCAAACCAAGGTTAAGTTCATCATGTATATCAAAGTCCCACTGCTTAATATAGGGAAGTGTCAGTCTTTAGAGTTAATTATTTAACATTGCTTAATAATTTGTTCCAATCTTTAGGGGCACCTGCGTGCCAAAGTTGGTTGGGAGTCCGACTTTTGGTTTTGGCTCAGGTTGTGGTTTCAGGGTCATGAGATTGAGCCCCATGTAGGGCTCCAAGCTCAGTGCAGTGTCTTCTTAGGACTCTCTCTCCGTCTCCCTCTCTCCCTCTCTCCCTCCTCCCCATGCACTCTCTCTCTCAAATAAGTAAATCCTTAAAAAAATAATTTATTCCAATCTTAATAGTGGCAAAGAAAAATTAGTTTTAATACAGATAGATTTCCAGTTTTGTGTGTTAAATGAAATTACAGAATGTTTGCAAAACTTGATTAAAATTTGCAAGCCTGGGGTGCCTGGGTGGCTCAGTCGTTAAGCTTCTGCCTTCGGCTCAGGTCATGATCCCAGGGTCCTGGGATCGAACCCCCATCGGGCTCCTTGCTTGGCAGGAGGCCTGCTTCTCCTTCTCCCACTCCCCCTGCTTGTGTTCCCTCTTTTGCTGTGTCTCTCTCTGTCAAATTAAAAAAAAAAAAAAATTTTGCAAGCCTATTCCTACAGCTTAGGGAGGGGATATGCAGGTAGTCATTAGCTTTAAAATGCAAAGTGTTGTGATTTTTTTTATCTGGTATCAGATGTGAATGTTAGTGTTTTAACAAAGCCATTAAAAGCCTATTTTTGTTGTTTATTACTTTAAATATTTTTTTTTTAGTTATATGAACAAAACCTGAAAATAAGAGGAATATCAGAAAATATACTCCCTAGCTATAAAGCCTTGGGCAAGATAATTAAGTTTTTTTGTGCTGGTCTCCTTATTTATAAAATGGAAATGATAATATCTATGTCCTCAAGGTATCTTGAGGATTAAATGAGGTAGTCTCTATAAAAGGTTTAACATAGTGGGCCTGGCACATAATTAAGTAGTAGGCTATTGTTTATTGTTTAAATTTTACTTCAGTTTTTACAAAATGAAATCAAGGTTATTTATACATATGTTGTGTGTGTGTGTGTGTATGTATAAAACATAGTGCATACAGGAAAGGTCTTTTGAGTTTTGCCTACTGCCAGGGAGGCTAGAAAGTAGGGGACCGTCTCGGAAGCCATATTGGCAGTTAAAACATTGACGGTATCTTCACAGTGGCAAGGAAGAGACTTGCCTTGCTTTGTGCTAGGTACTACATAAAGTCCATGAAAATGTTTTACTTAATGGAATTTTATTATGAATAAAATAATTTTGAATATATGAGAATTAAAATCTAGAGGTCTTGTTGTAAATGGAAAAATTCAGAATAAGAAATGTTGGCCTATGTTTCTGTTTATTCATATAGATTCTTTCACTTTTGCTCTTTATTTTCTTACTGTTGTGAGAACAACAACGATCTTTGTTGATTGTTTCATAGGTCCACTCGGCTGTTGAAGAAATGGATGGATTAGATGATGTTGAGAACAGCATGTTGTATTACAATCAGGCAGTCATTCTTTATCATCTGCGGCAGTACACAGAAGCGATAGCAGTTGGTGAAAAACTTTACCAGTTCATAGAACCTTTTGGTATGTTCTGTAAAAAATTTCCCTATCATCCGGGGACTTGGGTGGCTCAGTCAATTAAGTGTCTGACCCTTGATCTCAGGGTTGGGAGATCGAGCCCTCTGTTGGGCTATGCACTGGGCACAGAGCCTGTTTGGGATTCTCTCTGTCCCTCTCCTTCTGCCCCTCCCCACTCTAAAAAAAAAAAAATTCTCCCTATTTACAGTGGCCTCTGGTACTTTTACGTAGTTAACCTAAATTAGGGAGTTGTCTGTTAGTATTTAAAGAAAGAAAAAAAGCTGTGTAGGTTTTCTTAATAGCTAGAAAAGATAAAAATGACATTTTTAGATGAACCCAGGTTTTCTTTTAGCATTTCCTCCCCACTCAATTTTTTTTTTTTTAAACATCTCATCTACTCATTTGAGAGAGAGAATGAGCAAGAGAGAGAACATGAGCAGGCGGAGCAGGAGAGGCAGAGGGAGCAGTAGGCTTTCCACTGAGCAGGGAGCCCGATGTGGGGCTCGATCCCAGGACCCCCGGGATCATGACCTGAGCTGAAGGCAAACACTTATTTGACTGAGCCACCCAGGCACCCTGCCCACCCCTCAATTTTTAAAAATGACTGTTAGAAATGATGTTTCTGATTGGAAAGACTTAGTGATTTTTGTTTTTCTCTGCTCTTTGAATACCACCTAGTGTACCCAATCCATTCTTACTTGAGCAGTGTATTAAGGAGTGTTTGGGGATGTTAAGGGACAGTGAAATATTTTGTCCATTGCCTCACTGACGTTTTTGTGGGTAATCAAAGAATAGATAGTACAGACTATGCTAGCTTTTTTGGTATCTTAAGTTACTTATCTTACAGTTACTAGCCTTGAATAAGTATAGTAAGAAAGGTGAAGGCAAAGGAACAAAGAGGGAGCAAATAAAGCAGCAAAGGCAGACTCAGGAAATGGTTGTTAGAGAGGGCTGTTTGTTTCCAGCCCACAAGCAGTCAGATTTCAGTTGTGATTCACATTTTTGTCTTTTTCTCTATTACTTTCCTTTAAATTCAAAACACTAATGCCGATTCCTGATTTATAAACGCCTGATTGCTGATGTGGTCCCCACAGGACAAGAGGTGGAGTGTGATGGCTCCTCTGTGGGGCTTTGGGAAGAGTTACAGGGTCCCCTTTTGCTGCCAACTGTTGAACAGCTGCTTGCTGTGGATCCGGGGGGGCATTTTCAAGGTGTTCCTCTTCTGTGTTGAGGGCATGGTGGCTGGACAGATTGGGCAGGAGAAACACCAGTGGTGAAGATGGGGTAAATTGTGACCTTTCCTTTTTATAAAGCTGGAAATCAGAATTATACTTCTAGGATGACACAGATGTGTTTTTCTGTGAAGTGGGGGGGGGGGGGGGGGCGGGAGGGTTGTTTGTTTTTTGTTAAGTAATCTCTACACCTAAGTGGAGCTTGATGACCCTGAGATCAAAAGTCACACACTCTACCAACTGAGCCAGCCAGGTGCCCCTGTAAAGCTGGTTTTTAGAATTTCTGAAACAGTTCATGAAATCCTGTTAATCTATACTGTGGCTGAGTATGGAATATAACAACCAACTAGGTAGAATTCAATTTTTTTTTTCTTCTTTGGAAATTATTATTGCTCTTTTATTTATTTTTATCTTTTATTTTTTTTAAAGATTTTATTTATTTATTTGACAGAGAGAGGGAACACAAGCAGGGGGAGTAGTGGGAGAGGGAGAAGCCGGCTTCCCGCGGAGCGGGGAGCCCGATGCGGGGCTCCATCCCAGGACCCTGGGATCATGACCTGAGCCGGAGGCAGACGCTTAACCAACTGAGCCACCCAGATGCCCCTATTGCTCTTTTAATTTATAAGTAATTTCTACACCCAACATGGGGTTCAAACTTAGAACCCCAAGATCAGGAGTCACATGCTCTTCCAACTGAGCCAGCCAGGCACCTCCATTATTGTTATTTTTAAAAACGTTACTATTTGAGGGATGCCTGGGTAGCTCAATTGACTGAGTTTCCAACTCTTGGTTTCAGCTCAGGTCATGATCTCAGTGTCCTGCGATTTAGCCCCGCGTCACACTCCATGCTCATTGGGGAGTCTGCTTGTCGATGCTCTCTCTTCCTCTCCCTCTGCCCCGTCCCAGCTTGTGCACACTTGCACTCACTCTGACTCTCTAAAATAAATAAATCTTTAAAAAATAAAAATAAAAATATTACTACTAGGTTCTTCTACAACATGTATTTATTGAGCATATACTGTGGACCAAAACTGTCCTGGGAAAGGGCGCCCGGCTCAGGTCATGGTCCCTGGGTTCTGGAATCGAGCCCCGCATCAGGCTCCCTGCTCGGTGGGAAGCCTGCTTCTCCTCTCACTCCTGCTTGTGTTCCTGCTCTTGCTCTCTCTCTGTCAAATAAATAAATAAATCTTTAAAAAAAAAAATGTTCTGGGATGTGAAGATAATGCAGTGAATGAAATAAAGAAAGTCTTTACCCTCATTATGCTTATATTCTAATGGGAGAGAGAACAACACAATAAATATATATATTCTGAGGTAGCTGAATGCCATGAAGAAAAGCTAAAGTTGGGTAAGAGGATAGAAATGGATTGGGAACCTTATTTTTATTTATTTATTTTTTAAAGATTTTATTTATTTTTTTGACAGAGAGAGACATAGCGAGAGCAGGAACACAAGCAGGGGGAGTGGGAGAGGGAGAAGCAGGCTTCCCGAGGAGCAGGGAGCCCGATGCAGGGCTCGATCCCAGGACCCTGAGATCATGACCTGAGCCGAAGGCAGACGCTTAACGACTGAGCCACCCAGGCGCCCATGGAACCTTATTTTTATTTTTATTTTTTATTTTTATTTTTATTATTTTTTTTAAGATTTTATTTATTTGAGAGCGAGAGAGAGAGACAGCTAGAGAGGGAACACAAGCAGGGGGAGAGGGAGAAGCAGGCTTCCCGCGGAGCAGGGAGCCCGATGCGGGGCTCGATCCCAGGACCCTGAGATCATGACCTGAGCCGAAGGCAGACGCTTAACGACTGAGCCACCCAGGCGCCCGGGAACCTTATTTTTAGATAAGGCAATCAAGGAAGGCCTGGGATAAGACAGTATTTGAAGAGACCTGAGTGAAGGTAAGAGGTGAGCCACATGGCTCTTGAGGAGGAAGGCATTCCAGCCAGAGGTGATAGTATATGCAGAGAACCTGCAACGAGCTTGAGTTTAGTGAGAGGAACAGCAGAAGTCCGTTGGGACTGGAACTAGGTAGGGAAAACAGAAGCAAACGAAGTTGAAAGTAGTGAGGGGCAGAATAGGTAAAGTCCTGTGGCCTAGGTGAGGACTTAACTGTTTTAAGAGTGGTGGGTGACCTTTGCGCATCAACCACCTTGATTTTAGTTTTAAATGGAATCCACTCTGGCTGCTGTGTAAAAGCAATAATGGAATCAGGAAGACTTGTTAGGAGGCTCTCTTAAGGGCTTTTGAAATTTCTGTTCTTGATTTTAGCATTTTTTAGACCTTATTTTTCCTTTTTTCTTCTGAAAGGAAAAGAAAATAGTGTTGTGATATACCAGGTTACCCTTCCTTTCTTTTTGGGCTCTTCTTCCTTCGAAGTCCTTCTTAGAGTTGGAAGGAATCTCAAAAGATCACCTGGCTCACCCCCCTGCCTTTAGGCAGGTGAAGTATTCTCCCCATTTTATAGGTCGGCCAGCTGAGGTCTAAAAATTAGCTCAGTGATGTGTAGAGGCCACATATCTAGTAAGTAGCCAAGCGAATACTGGAATTGAGGTTTCCTTCTTCCTCAAGTAAGATTCCTCATTTCACGTGTTGGTGTTTGGTAGATATTTTGTCAAAGGAGGATCTGTCACTAGGAACCCTACAATGAGAGGCCTTGAGATGCAGAATAGAATAGCATTGGTGGTATTGTAAGTTTTCCATTTGTGGCTCTAGGTGATGAACAGTCATTTAAATAAAGACTTAGTCTTTGCTCTTAACTTTTTGGGGAGGAGTGGTCTGAAATGTTCGTTTCACTTTGGATTATAACTTTTCTTTTCCTGTTTTTTTTTTTCCCAGAAGAAAAATTTGCCCAAGCAGTGTGTTTTTTGCTTGTAGACCTATATATATTAACCTATCAAGCTGAGAAAGCTTTGCATCTTCTTGCTGTCCTAGAAAAAATGATTTCACAAGGCAACAATAACAAAAATGGGAAGAATGAGGTAAGTGTTCTGAGGTGATCAGATTAAAATTTGTGGTTAATATTTGGAGTTATTAAATATTTTAACAGCTTTATTGAAATATAATTCACTGTACAGAATGGTTGCTATGGTTAATCATACCGTAGTATTACATACTTGAAAATGGCTAAGAGAGGGCGCCTGGGTGGTTCAGACGGTTAAGCATCTGCCTTCGGCTCAGGTCATGATCCCAGGGTCCTGGGATCGAGTTCTGCATCGGGCTCCCTGCTAGGCGGGGAGCCTGCTTCTCCCTCTGCCTCTGCCTCTCTGACTCTCATGAATAAATAAATAAAACGTTAAAAAAAAAAAAAAAGAAAAAATGGCTAAGAGAGTAGATCTTTAAAGTCCTCAGCACAAGAATAAAAACCTTTTGTAATTGTGTATAGTACAGTGATAGATGTTTTTTTTTGTTTTTTTTTTTAAAGATTTTATTTATTTATTTGAGACAGAGAGAATGAGAGACAGAGAGCATGAGAAGGAGGAGGGTCAGAGGAAGAAGCAGACTCCCTGCCGAGCAGGGAGCCCGATGCGGGACTCGATCCCGGGACTCCAGGATCATGACCTGAGCCAAAGGTAGTCGCTTAACCAACTGAGCCACCCAGGCGCCCCAGTGATAGATGTTTTAACTAGACTTATTTCATAGTATTTACAAATATTTTTATGTTGTATACCTAATAGTATTTGTCAGTTATACCTCAATTTAAGAATTCTTATAATAAAAATCAGAAGAATTATGCCTACCCTCAGGCGGCCCACAGTCTAGGTAGGGAGAGACAGATGAGTTAAAATTTTGATTAATGGGGCAACTGACTGTTGCTCTACCAACTCGATAGAGCATGTGACTCTTGATGTCAGGGTCGTGAGTTCGAGCCCCACGATGGGCATGGAGCCTACTTATTTAAAAAACTAATTTGATCAGTGACCTTAAAAAGCAAATATAATTCACATCTACAAAATTTAACATTTTAAGGTGTATAATTCAGTGGCTTTTAGTATACTCACTGAGTTGTAGAACTGTCATCACTATCTAAATTCCAGAACGTTTCATCACCCCAAAAAGAAACCCTGTAGCTGTTAGCACTTTTTCCCCTTCCCTCAACCCCTGGTAACCACTAATCTACTTTATATCTTTATGAATTTGACTATGCTGGACATTTCATATAAATGGAATCATACAATATGTGGCCTTTTGTGATTGGTTTCACTTGGCATAATACCTTCAAAGTTTATCAAGTTGTAACATGTACTTCATTCCCTTTTCATGTACTTCATTCCTTTTTATGGCCATATAATCCTCCACTATGTACTTTTGCCACATTTTTTTTAATCCATCAGTTGATGGTCATTTGGGTTGTTGTCCACATTGACTTATAAATGATGCTGCTATAAACATTTGTGTACATATTTTTGTGGTGGCATATATGTTTTCATTTTTCTTAGGTATATGTTTAAGAGTGGAATTGCTGGATCATACGGCAGTTCTATGTTTAATCTTGGGAGGAACTACCAGCCTGTTTTCCAGAGTAGCTACACCATTTTACATTCCTACCAGCCTTTCATGAAGGTCCCAGGTTCTCCACATTCTTGCCAACCTTGTTATCTTTTCTTTTTTTTTAAGATTTTATTTATTTATTTGACAGAGAGACAGCGAGAGAGGGAACACAAGCAGGGGGAGAGGGAGAGGGAGAAGCAGGCCTCCCGCCGAGCAGGGAGCCCAATGCGGGGCTCGGTCCCAGGACCCTGGGACCATGACCCAAGCCGAAGGCAGACGCCCAATGACTGAGCTACCCAGGCGCCCCCTTTTTTTTTTTTACACTGTAACCATCCTAATGGATGTAAAGTGGTATCTCATAGTGGTCTTAATTTCTGTGCTTACTAAGGGTGTGTGTTTGCATCTTTTCATGTGTGAAATGTTAGTTTTATAGAATGTAAAGATTAGAATTAAGACAATAGAAATCCATAATCTGGATAAACAGGGCAGTTTTTTTATTTAAGATTTTATTTTTTTTATTTATTTGACAGAGAGGGACAGCAAGAGAGGGAACACAAGCAGCGGGAGTGGGAGAGGGAGAAGCAGGCTTCCCGCTGAGCAGGGCGCCTGATGCAGGGCTTGATCCCAGGACCCCCCGGGATCATGACCTGAGCCGAAGGCAGACGCTTAACGACTGAGCCACCCAGGCACCCAGGGCAGCTTTCACTAGAGAAAATTTCATCATTTAAGTTCTTCAGAAAGAGTGCATGTTTATGACATATTCTGGGATAAGAGACTTGGTGTACATTAAGAATACTTTTTAGATCTCATGGGGTTTTTTTTTTTTAAAGACTTTATTTATTTATTTGAGAGAGAGAAACAGCATGAGAGGCGAGAGGGTCAGAGGGAGAAGCAGGCTCCCCACTGAGCCGGGAGCCCAATGCGGGACTCAATCCCAGGACTCCGGGATCATGACCTGAGCCGAAGGCAGTCGCCCAACCAACTGAGCCACCGAGGCGTCCTCATGGGTTTTCTATTTTTAAGATTTTATTTGTATTTTTAGTTATTTATATTTTTGAAGATTTTATTTGAAAGAGAGCGTGCACACATGTGCGAGTCGCAGGGTGGGGCAGAGGGAGAGGGAGAAGCAGGTTTCCTGCCCAGCAGGGAGCCCAATGTGGGGTTTGGTCCCAGGACCCCAAGATCATGACATGAGCCGAAGGCAGACGCTTAACTGACTGAGCCACCCAGATGCCCCAAGATTTTCTTTTTAAGTAATTTCTACACCCAACGTGGGACTCAAACCCACAACCCCGAATTCAAGAGTCACAAGCTCAGCTGACTGAGCCAGTGGAGGTGGCCACCATGAGGTGCCCCTCTTGTTTGTTTTGCTTGTTCTCTAGTTGTCAACGGATGGTCCTCTCTTCCTGTCCCTGTCCTTTTGTTAAAAAAGGAGTTATTTGTAGAAAACAGATTGTTAATACCTTTCTTTCTACCTGTTTAAGTTCTCGAGGTTTAAAAGTAAGTATCTAGGGTGCCTGGGTGGCTCAGTTGGTTAAGCGACTGCCTTCGGCTCAGGTCATGATCCTGGAGTCCCGGGATCGAGTCCCATATCGGGCTCGCTGCTTGGCAGGGAGTCTGCTTCTTCCTCTGACCCTCCTCCCTCTCATGCTCTCTGTCTCTCATTCTCTCTGTCTCAGATAAATAAATAAAATCTTTAAAAAAAAAAAAGTAAGTATCTAGGGAGCCTCGGTGGCTCAGTCATTAAGCGTCTGCCTTCTGCTGGGGTCATGATCCCAGGGTCCTGGGATCGAACTCAGCGTTGGGCTCCCTGCTCAGTGGAGAGTCTGCTTCTCCCTCCCACTCTTTTTGCTTGTGTTCCTTCTCTTACTATGTCTCTCTCTGTCAAATAAAATCTTTAAAAAAATAAAAATAAAATAAAAGTAAACATCTAGCATTATTTTTTACAATTTAACAGGTGTAGATAGAAAATAATTCAGTTAGGGGCGCCTGGGTGTCTCAGTCATTAAGCCTTTGGCTCAGGTCATGATCCCAGGGTCCTGGGATTGAGCCCCGCATCGGGCTCCCTGCTCCGCGGGAAGCCTCCTTTTCCCTCTCCCACTCCCCCTGCTTGTGTTCCCTCTCTCGCTGTGTCTCTTTCTGTCAAATAAATAAATAAAATCTTTAATAAATAAATAAATAGAAAGAAAATAATTCAGTTAAATCATCTTAGCATTATTCCTCAACACTGTGTGGTAAAATACTTTGTTTTTATATTCAGTATATAAGAGAGTTGATAAAATAAAATTCCGTTCAAAAGATGCTGTGTCCTCTGCTAGATACTAAAGTGACAAAAATAAAAACCTTATAGTTCACACTTCGTGAGAGAGGAGAAAGATGGGGAAGCATCTGTCCAGGGACTGGGAGGAAGGCGAGTAGGGACGATTTTGGAGAAATTTAGGGGCGCCTGGGTGGCTCAGTCGGTTGAGTGTCCGACTCTTGATTTCGGCTCAGGTCGTGATCTCAGGGTCAAGAGATCAAGCCCCACGTAGGGCTCTGTGCTCAATGCGGAGTCAGCTTGAGATTCTCACTGCCTCTCCCTCTGGTCCTCTCCCCTGAAATAAATACTGATTTTGGAGAAGTTTGGATGTTTGATTTGGGCCTTGAAAGATGTAATATAATTCAACTAGTCAGAAGCAGAAGGGTGGAGCAGAGTAACTGGCATGGCAGAGAAAACACAGAAGGTGTGAGAGTGGTTACATTGGAGGAATTTCTGGTAACCTGAAATGCATAGTACACCTGAAAAATGTAGATATAGGAGATCAGGAGATGAGATTGGCAACTCAAATATTGGTCACATTGTGAAGGATTTTGGATATTACTAGGAATCTAGCATATGATGTTGGCAGTGTTTATACCAGAGTAAGTTTTTAAGAGGGAAATGACATGGGGGTACCTGGGTGGCTCAGTCTGTTAAGTGTCTGCCTTGGGCTCAGGTCATGATCTTGGGGTCCTGGGACTGAGCCTGACGTCAGGCTCCCTGCTCAGTGGAGAGTCTGCTTCTCCCTCTCCCTCTGTCCCATACCTCCCTCTTGTTCTCTCTCTCTCAAATAAATAAAAATCTTTTACAAAAAATGTAGACATCGGGGCGCCTGGGTGGCTCAGTCGTTAAGCGTCTGCCTTCGGCTCAGGTCATGATCCCAGGGTCCTGGGATGGAGCCCCACATCGGGCTCCCTGTTCAGCGGGGAGCCTGCTTCTCCCTCTCCCACTCCCCCTGCTTGTGCTCCCTCTCTCTGTGTTTCTGTCAAATAAATAAATAAAATATTTTAAAAAAATGTAGACATCAAAAGTTTAAAAAAGGGACGCCTTGGTGCCTCAGTCAGTTAAGCATCTGCCTTCGGCTCAGGTCGTGATCCCAGTGTCCTGGGATCGAGCCCCACATTGGGCTCCTTGCTCATTGGGGAGTCTCCTTCTCCCTCTCTCACTCCTCTGCTTGTGTTCCCTCTCTCGCTGTGTCTGTCAAATAAATAAAATCTTAAAAAAAAAAAAAATTCCTATTACCCCCTCCAGACTATTATACCTGAATCTCTGGGAGTGAGACCTGGGATTCTATAGTTTTAAAATATTCTGTAGGTGATTCAGATAAGCTCACTTGTAAATCACTGATTTAATTATGGTAAAAAATTTTTAATTTTGGTTAACTTTGTTTTACCACCCTACAGACTGGTAATAACACCAACAAAGACGGATCAAATCATAAAGCTGAAAGTGGAGCCCTAATAGAAGCTGCAAAATCAAAGATTCATCAGGTAGCATAAATTCTCAGAGAGGTTATGCATCACGTATATTTACTAATAGTTATGAATGATGAAGAATGTGATAGATCATTGAAAGCAGTAAATAATTCAAGGCATGTATATTTGTTTGGCTTTGAAATATTATAATTTAAAAGCATATTTATCCTTCTAATTGTATTTGCTTAAAATGATAATGCAGTATCTTTTCTTTAATTACTTGATAAAAGATTGAGAGAAATGGCCTGGGAATGTATTGGATGATAAAATCAGTTTGTAGACTACTAAAATTCATTCTTAATTAGCCAGGTGCAGATAAAAATGATAGGAATTAGAGAATTGCTGAATCACTGTATTGTGCCCCTGAAACTAATACTGTACGTTAATTATACTGGAATTAAAATATAAATTAGTATTTTAAAAAGTAAAAGAATTGTTAGGATTTTTGCTTGGAATTTAAGTATAAATTTTATTCTACCATGTTTTTTGTTTTTTAGAATGCATTCTAAGAATACAGTAAAAATAGATTAAGATAATTTAAAACTTAGTTTTGCAAGTAACTGGTATAACTATGTTGTAAACAGATTGGGTTGAAATTTCATTTAACTAGAAAGTAAAACTACTTCAGCATGTGTAAATCCATCATAGTTCTCACATACTAGCATTTTCCTTTGATAGTATAAAGTAAGAGCTTATATCCAAATGAAGTCCCTGAAAGCATGCAAAAGGGAAATCAAGTCAGTCATGAACACAGCTGGAAATGTAAGTTTCTTCTTGATTTTCTTTTTTTTTTTTTTTTTCCAGTTTGTAACTTTTATGTCCTAAAACTTTCTTGTTTGGATAGTAGGTATTTGTCAGTCTTAAATAATTTATTTTAGTCTATTATAGTATATATATACTGTTACATATAATCCTTGACATTGAGTTGTAAAGTGATGATCATACTGTGTCTATAATTTAATACTTTTCTCTCTTAAAATTATAGCAAGCATTTTCCCTTGGTGTGTAGCCCTCAAAACCACCATTTTAAATAGCTATCTAGTATTCTGGAAATGGTTTATCACAAGTCACGTAAACATTTACTATTAGACACTTCAGGATTTTATTAGTTTATACTCAAAACATTTATTAAAGATTAACAGTTCAGCTATAGCCCAAACCTACCCTTTCCAAATGATCTTTGACTTGACAGTACCTCAATTTGACTAATGTTGCTAGAGTATTTGAGATAAAATTACTCCTTCCTTCCATTCCCTCCACTCCACTCCTCCACTGATACATAAAGTTTAAGACTGTGGAGGGAAAAGGTAGAATTGTGAACGTTCTTGATGCTTTTGGGAAAACTGTTAATTTTAAGTATGAAGTCATAAGGAGAAATAGTTTGGCTTTGAAGTATTGTAGTAGTTTGTACTACAGTTTGTAGTAGGAATGGTTCAGGATAATTGACCCTAGAAATCCTAGGCAGGATCCAGATTAGTCACTGGGTCAGTACTCAAGTGATTTTTGAGGAGAACAAATTGTAGCCAAAGTCTGAGGAGGTAGACTTGAGGCTAAGAGGGAAAAGCCTAACTAGCCAGCTAACCGTTATCAAACCTTTTTTGAGATAAAAGACATGATCCCTGCCTTAATGGAAGCTATATTCACAGGGGAGAGAGAAACAGGAAAATAAATAATTGTAATGCAGAGTAGTAGTAATACCTAAATCAGGAGGAAGTATTGCTACCCAGAATAAGCTTTGGAAGCCCTTTTTCCTCAATGACCAGGAGGCAGAGCAAAGCATGAACAAGGACTTAGAAGAAAAGCCTATAGCTAAGCTAAAGTGAATAAATGATGAGACCAGGATTCCTGATGTCCTCTTGGATGGATGTTTAGTCTGCAGATCTATGCATACCTTTGCACTCTAAATAGGTATGATACAGATGATCCTCCACTAGGAGGATTCTTAGGGGAAGTGAAACATGGTCTGCCATCCGAAATGTGATCTTTGTCACAAGCAAGATTAGCTCTTGAAAATAAGGTATTCTGTTAGGCAATTCTTCCATCCACAGAATGACACTTTTTTTTTTCCTATTTGGAAAGGCATTGGATTATTTGTGTCCCTTTGGGTTCTAATGAAGGTGCATCTGTACCCTAAAAAATAAGGGAGACCTCCAATCTCTCTAAATAGTCATTGAACTGAAGGACCTAGTTAAATTGGCTTCCAAGTAGTAGTATAATAAATGAAGACAGTCTGTTGATGATCTGCAGACTGTATTCTTATACATATGTACTGCGTGTATTTTTTTTAGGCAGACCCTTAATTCAGTTGATAAGGTACTCTCTGATAAGGTTTAATTTTTTTAGATTGTGAAAGCAATGAAAAATTGCTATAGTTTTTTGTGAGCATGATTTAAATGATTCACTTATGCTCTTGAATACATGCCAATACAGCAGTGTGATTATGATCTCACAATTGACATCTGAAAACAAAATATAAGCAACTTATATTTTCTTTACAGTCTGCACCCTCTCTATTTCTTAAAAGCAATTTTGAGTACTTAAGAGGCAATTATCGAAAAGCTGTGAAGCTATTAAATAGTTCAAACATTGCTGAACATCCAGGATTCATGAAAACAGGTAAAAAAAAATTGTGAAATTCTAGTATTTTTTCTGGCTCTTCTGTCTTTTGTTGTTTATTTCCTATAGTGCTCTTCAGTGTGATTTTTGCTTATTTTTTATTTTTTTATTTTTATTTTTTATGACAGAGAGGGAACACAAGCAGGGGGAGTGGGAGAGGGAGGAGCAGGCTTCGCACAGAGCAGGGAGCCCGATGCAGGGCTTAATCCCAGGACCCTGGGATCATGACCTGAGCTGAAGGCAGATGCTAAATGATTGAGCCACCCAGGAGCCCCGCTAATTTTTTTAAATGAAATGTTTTATTATTTCTGCTGCAGAAAATTCTTAGAATTTATTCTATTATTTGTTTCCATTTTATTTATTTTATAGATTTATTTATTTTAGAGTGGGAGTGAGCATGGGGAGGGGCAAAAAGGGGGGGAGCAGAGAGAGAGAGAAGCAGACTCCCCACTGAGTGCAGAGCCTGAGGCTGGACCAATCCCAGGACCTGTGCCAAAACCAAGAGTTGGATGCTTAACCTACTGAGCCACCCAGGTGCCCCTATTTGTTTCCATTTTAGAAGAAGCTTCGGGGCTCCTGGGTGGCTCAGTCGTTGAGCGTCTGCCTTCTGCTCGGGTCATGATCCCAGAGTCCTGGGATCAAGCTCCACATCGGGCTTCCTGCTCTGCAGGGAGTCTGCTTCTCCCTCTCCCACCCCCCCGCTTGTATTCCCTCTCTCCCTGTCTCTCTCTCTGTCAGATAAATAAATAAAATCCTTAAAAAAAAAAGAAGCTTCACTCCTTTACTTTTCTTTCACCTCATGTATGCTTTCTTTCATTTCATTTTTTTTTTTTTAAGATTTTATTTATTTGAGAAAGGGAGAGTACAAGCAGGGGGAGCGGCAGAGGGAGAGGGAGAAGCAGGCTTCCTGCTGAGCAGGGAGCCCAATGTGGGGCTCCATCCCAGGACTCCAGGATCATGACCTGACCTGAAGGCAGATGCTTAACCGACTGAACCACCCAGGCGCCCCCATTTCATTTTTTAATACCAGCTTACAAATTATGTCCAGGATGTAAGGTCCTTGGACTTTTACTTTGTGAAACGAGATCTTTTAAGGAAATGAGATGATAATGTTTTTACTTTTCCCTTTTCTCCTGTAAAAGCTGTGACCATATTATGATTTTTTAGATTAACTATATCAAAAATATTTCTATAAAGTTGGGAAGATAATTATCGTTATCTGTTTTCTATTTCGAAAGTTTTTAAAAAATATTTTATTTATTTGTCAGAGAGAGTGCACAAGCAGGGAGAGCGGCAGAGGGAGAAGCAGGCTCCCCACCGAGCAGGGATCCTGATGGGGGACTCAGTCCCAGGACCCCGGGATCATGACCTGAGCCGAAGGCAGACGCTCAACCGACTGAGCCACCCAGGCGTCCCTGTTTAGAGAGTTTTATTTATTTATTTATTTATTTTAAGATTTTATTTATTTACTTGACAGACACAAAGTGAGAGAAGGAACACAAGCAGGGGGAGTGGGAGAGGGAGAAGCAGGCTTCCTGCCTAGCAGGGAGCCCGATGCAGGGCTCGATCTCGGGACCCTGGGATCATGACCTGAGTCGAAGGCAGACATTCAACAACTGAGCCACCCAGGTGCCCCTAGAAAGTTTTAATGAGGTTTAAGCGTCAGCTTAAGCATCCAGCTCTTGATTTTGGCTCAGGTCATAATCTCAGGGTAGTGAGATCGAGGCCTGCATTGAGCTCAGTGCTGGGTGTGGAGCCTGCTTAATTAAGATTCTGTCTCTCCCTCTGCTCTTCTCCGTGTCTAAAAAAGAAAGGTTTTTGTTGTTTGTTTTTTAAAAAAGGTTTTAATGAGTTGCTTAATACTGTTGGTAAAATGAAAGGTAAAATTTGGGGCTTTCTTTTAAGTTCACATCATTGCTATTTTATGGGGAGAAAGGGGGAAAATCCATTTATTCAAGAAATGAAGTCAAACTATTGAAAATGCTTTATCCCAAGTTTAAAATGCAAAGATGGGGACGCCTGGGTGGCTCAGTTGGTTAAGCCTCTGACTCTTGGTTTCAGCTCAGGTCATGGTCTCAGTGTTGTGAGTTTAAGCCCCAGGTTGGGCTCTGCACTCAGCGTGGAATCTGCTTAAGATTTTTTCCCCGCTCTGCTCCTCCCCCCTTCACATGCACATGCACCCGCACTCACTCTCTCATAAATAAATAAATAAATAAAATCTTAAAATGCAAAGGATGAATAAGGTTTTTGGGGATGTTTTCTTTTAGATTCTATCCAGACGCGAAGATAGAACACACATGCAGGGGCGCCTGGGTGGCTCAGTCGGTTATATGGCTGCCTTTGGCTCAGGTGGTGATCCCAGAGTCCTGGGATCAAGCCCGGAGGCGGGCTCTCTGATCAGTAGGAAGTTGGCTTCTCCCTCTCCCTGCAGCTCCCCCTTGTGCTCAAGCACTCGCTCTCTCTCTCTCTCTCTCTCCCGTCAAATAAATAAATGAAAGAAAATCTAAAAAAAAAAAAAAACCACACCTGCAGACATACTCACCTCCCCCCGCTTTACCCGTTCTGTTAAGTGGGGTTGTAAAAGATGGAGAAAAGCAATTTGTTCCATTACAGTTCTCTTGGATATTCTGTTTATTCTGAGTACCCATTTTTAATTGTGCTAAATTTTCATTTTTGCTGTTTTTATTGTCATAATTTCCCCTCAGAGTCCCATAACACCCAAACACCGAAATGATCTTTAAGACTAAAAATTCAGTATCCTTTGAGAAAATTTTGCTTAGGATTGTCTTGATACAGATTTCAGAATCAATATTTTTAGGCTCTACAGTGGAGTGAGGAGTAGGACATATAGTTGACTACTCAACAGTTAAGATGATCTAATGGGAAAGATTTTTATATAGTAGTTATATATTTTATGTACTGAATTTTTTATAGTTATTAATTTAAAATATTTTCTCATGTAAAATTATTTTTTGCTGCTGATAAAATACGCTTATTGGAAAAGATTCAGGAATAGAATGTTTCTTAAATTGTTCACAGTGCCACTACCAGAGGTAGCCTCCTTTAAATAAACATTTTAATGTGTTTCCTACTGTCTTCCCCAGAAGCCTACTCTTTGTCTTTTTAAAATACCATTGCTCAATTTAAGAACACATCAGAAGAAAATCTTTAGATTTTAGTATTAAGCATTGAATATCCTGAGTGTTAATTTTGTCAGTCTGATCTGGTATTTTATATCATTGTGGAAAAGACAATCAGTAAATTGTTTTGGAGTATTTGGGAAGCAGTTTAGAAGAAGAAAACTAAAGCTTGGATTGCTTTCATTACAGCAAAATAAAACCCAGAGGAATGAAGGGTTGAAAGCAACTAAAGAAAACTTGAATATTTTAATTTTGGGGGGGGGATACTTGTGTGGGGGGAATACTTGATTTATCCAAAATGCAAGAACCATAGATTTTAGAAAAGATGATTAAATTTCACCACATAAAAATGTAAAACTTTTTATGATTAAACACACACACATACACACTGAAGCAGGTCATAAGACAGATGACACACTGGCTTTGGGGGGAATATTTGAAACAGATGTGACAGAAGGTTTCTATAACATACTAACAGGTAACCAATAGGAAAAACATCTGTAACCAAATAAAAAAATGGGTAAAGAACAGAAAGAAGCAGTGTATTACAGGATAAGAAATACAAATGCCTAACAAGCTTGAGAAGATAGATGCTCAGCCTTAGTGATAATTAAAGAAGTGTGAACTAAAAGAACAGTGAAGACTTTAAACAGGCAAAAGCAGGATTTTATATATTGTTTAATGTATTCTTGCTACTCATTTAGTATGTTTCCATATATACTGATTCTTTCCAGTTTCTACATAATATTTTGTTGTGTGGATGCAGTGCATATAATGTTACTAATAAATACTTCTTGTTCTTTGCATTATTATATTATTTGCCCACAATTATTTAAAAATCAGAAGAAAAGATTAAGCAGGCTAACAAAATCAATGGGTAGGGTTTATCACCTTTAATAAAAGATTTTAAAAGGAAAGGAGCTTAGAAAATTTTCAGATGTCCTGAATTTCAGATGCCTTATAAACTTTCCTATAAGGACCAGGTGGAATTCCTGTTGCATTGCCAATTCTTGTGTGGCGTATGTCAACAGTAACATTTTTGGACAAATTTATTTGTGTTTTTGTCAGGTGAATGCTTGAGATGCATGTTCTGGAATAATCTTGGTTGCATCCATTTTGCCATGAGCAAGCACAATTTGGGAATTTTCTACTTTAAAAAGGCTCTGCAGGAGAATGACGGTGTTTGTGCACAGCTGAGTGCAGGCAGCACTGATCCAGGTGAGCCCATCGCTGGGGGACAGCTCGTATCTTCCTACTTGAGAGATGATATTAAAGAGCAAGCATCTGAGCACCCAGTAGTGTAGAAAATTGTTGAGTCACTGTGTTGTATGCCTAACACTAATATAACAAGGTAAGTAAATTATACTGGAATTTAAAAAGTAATTTTTTGTTTTTGGTAAAGAATAAATAGGTAGATAGTGATCAAGTTTCTGGTCAGAATGCATCCATATGTGCCTGCCTACAATTAACATCGACCCTGCCCAACGGGTTTGACTCCGGAGACTTAGTAGATATGGCTACTTCAAATAGCAAGGTGGTAGGAGTAATTATCAAAGAAATTTAAATTACGTTTACTTTTTCGTGGATTTGAAAATCAGTAATCACACATGGTAATGTTATAAAGCAAAGTATGTTGCTAAGATTTCTCGACTAGTTTTTTTGGTGTTTTTTGTTTTTGTTTTGTTTTGTTTTTTAAGTAAGCTATATGCCCAATGTGGGGCTTGAACTCACAGCCCTGAAATTAAGAGTTGCATGCTTTACCAACTGAGCCAGCCAGGTGCCCCTAAACTAGTTTTATTATAGCTTCTTTCCAGGGTTTCACATGGGATGTTATAGGCAGCACCTGACAGTCTTTTTTATTTTTTTATTTTTTTGCACCTGACAGTCTTTGAGCAAATTCCTGAAGTTTCTTACTTTAATATTCATATGATATGGATCCTTGACCTGGAATGCTTAAAATCAAGCAATTATGTAGCTTTTTTAACCATAAAAAAAACTGATGAAAAGTGTATCCAAAATCATAAGTAGTCTTTTTTTTTTTTTTTTAAGATTTTATTTATTTATTTGAGACAGAGAGAATGAGAGACAGAGAGCATGAGAGGGAGGAGGGTCAGAGGGAGAAGCAGACTCCCCGCTGAGCAGGAAGCCCGATGCGGGACTAGATCCCGGGACTCCAGGATCATGACCTGAGCCGAAGGCAGTCGCCTAGCCAACTGAGCCACCCAGGCGCCCTAAGTAGTCTTATTTTATTGTAGACTGTGAAACTTTGAATAAGTGAGTGAACCATAGTCATCGTAGGTATAATATATTAATTTTTATTTCCATAGTAAAGTTCCCAAACTCCTGCTAACATTAGCTGAATACTTCTGGTTAAGAAAGCACATGACAATAAAATGGCTAACCAAAATGAAAGTTAAAAAAGAAAGTGAATCTTCTGAAAAGGTGGAAAGGTGGTTAAAGATTCATAGGAGTCAGTGGGTCCTATCTATTTTGTTTGCCTTTCTGGACCATTGTTACCTGGGGAGCTGGCAAATGAGAAGAGACATCTCTGGCCACACCAGCACAAGCAACTGAGATGACTCTGGAGGATATTTGTGGGGTTGAGGATGAAGATCATCACTAATAGAGAGCTGTTACAACTTTACACTGGGCCGGAACACCTACGTGGCTCAGTTGGTTAAGCATCTGCCTTTGGCTCAGGTCATGATCCTGAATCCTGGGATCCAGCTCTGTGTCGGGAGTCTGCTTCTCCCTGTCCCTCTGCTGCTCCCCTTGTTTGTGCTCTCTCTGTCAAATAAAATCTTCAAAGAAACACAAAACTTCACACTGGAGTCCTTGGTATTAAACAAGGTAGTATTTAAGTATTTAGTGGAATAAATGTTTTCAGTGTAACTGTTATTTTTAATCTAATGTTTTTTTCTTACCTAATTTGTATCATTAGGCAAGAAATTTTCGGGAAGACCCATGTGTACATTACTAACCAACAAGAGGTATGAGTTGCTATATAACTGTGGCATTCAGCTTCTTCACATTGGAAGACCTCTTGCTGCCTTTGAGTGTCTGATTGAAGCTGTTCAGGTTTATCATGCAAATCCCCGCCTCTGGCTAAGGTTGGCTGAATGCTGCATTGCTGCAAATAAGGGGGTGAGTGCTCTTTGGGTATCTTATACACTCCCCCCCAACTTGTTACATAGAAAGCAGAAAATACTTGAAAACACACAAGACCTCATTCCCTTTATAACTCTCAGAGAATTTATAAAGATAGTCTGTTCTTCAACAGTTGGACAAAAGATTTAGTTTCTTAAAGTCACTTGTTAAGATTCTTAAAGTATAGCAGCCTGTATCAGCAGTCACATTAAAGAAGTGAAGCCAACAAGAGGGTCGTATCTGTTGGAACAGTGGTCTGCTAACTGCTGGGGCAGGGGCCATATCATCTGCTGGCCTGAGAATGGTATGTGCACCGGGTGGTTAGAGAAGGACTAAGACCATGAGTGTGCAAAGAACTGTATAACACTGCATTTCCTTCAGTGGGGAGGAGCTTTAGTTTTGATTCAGTAAATGGTTCAGAGTTCATGGATTATCAAGCTGTCTCTCTCACACCTTTGTCCACAGTGACTGTGAGAAATAGGCCAGTTTACATGGGTGTCCTTGCCTAGAACATCTGCACGTGGTGGTTGGTAGAAACCTTTGGAATCTCAAGTGGGGAGTGGTCAGTGGGAGTAGGAGAAAGACAGGTTCTATCAGAATTAACAGATGCCTGTATCACCCCATTTCTTACCCACCCCCCACCCTTGCTGCACTCTTTGGCTGTGTGGAGATTGGGAGGCCTGGCACCTGGGGTTTGTCTGCCATAGGTGATATAGATGTTTTTGCTGCTCCTATTGCTGAACAGCACTTCCTGAGAAGCAGCTGCAAAAACTAGCATTTAGAAGTATGTTTGCCTGGCAGTTTTCACACATGATACTTAAGTTATTCATGATTTGGGTATACCACTGGGAAAAGAGATAAGTGCTATCTTTGAAGGGCTTTAATCATTTATATAATTGTAATTTGCCTTTTAAGAAAGGACAACTTTTCTTTTTTTGAAGACTTTATTTATTTGATAGAGAGCACAAGCAGGGGGAACAGCAGGCAGAGGGAGAAGCAGGCTCCCTGCTGAGCAAGGAGGCCAATGTGGGACTCGATCCCAGGACCCCAGGATCATGACTCGAGCCAAAGATAGACACTTAACTGACTGAACCATCCAGGTGCCCTAAAAGACAACTTTCTTACTGGATAATTCTTAAATTAGCTGACAGTTTTAGGCAGTATTTATACTTTTTTAAAACAAGAATCTCTAGAAATTGGGGCACCTGGGTGGCTCAGTCATTAAGCGTCTCCCATTGGCTCGGGTCATGATCCCAGGGTCCTGGGATCGAGCCTCATCTCGGGCTCCCTGCTCGGCGGGAAGCCTGTTTCTCCCTCTCCCACTCCCCCTGCTTGTGTTCCTGCTCTTGCTATCTCTCTCTCTGTCAAATAAATAAATAAAATCTTTAAAAAAAAAAAAATCTCTAGAAATTGCTTATTCTCTTTAATTCATTCATGAATTTAAGTGTTGGAGACCTCTCATTTGGACGGTTATTGGAGACCAGGGAATTAGATCTTCCTAGGAGTAGAAAAAACAGTAAGGTTTAATATTTTCTTTTAAAATTACTTATTTTTAGAAACAGTACCTTTAGAATAGTCTTCATTCTGTGGATTTTATTATGAAGTCCCCATCCTCCCATTTTCTTGTACAAATTTCTAATTTTTTAAAAAAGACTTTATTTATTTAATGGGGTGCCTTCAGCTCAGGTCATGATCCCAGGGTCCTGGGATCGAGGCCCGCATCAGGCTCCCTGCTCAGCAAGAAGCCTGCTTCTCCCTCTCCCACTCCCCCTGCTTGTGTTCCCTCTCTTGCTGTGTCTCTCTCTGTCAAATAAATAAAATCTTTAAAAAAAATTTGTATTTATTTATTTTGAGAGAGCATGCACAAAAGGGGGGAAGGGGAGGAGCAGAGAGAAAGGGAGAAGCAGACTCCATGCTGAGCAGGGAACCCGATGCGGGGCTCGATTCCAGGATCCTGGGATCATGACCTGAGCCAAAGGCGGACGCTTAACTGACTGAGCCACCCAGGCGCCCCTAAGTTTCTAATTTTTAAAAAATGGTAGGGGTGCCCTGGATGGCTCAGTTGAGCATCCAACTCTTGGTTTCCGCTCAGATCAGGATCTCAGGGTCATGGGAAAGAGCCCTGCATCCGGCTCTGTACTTGGCAGCGTAGAGTCTACTTGGGATTCTCCCTGTCCCTCGTCTGCCCCTCCCCCCTGCTCACACGTCTTCTCTAAAATAAATAACTAAAATCTTTTTTAAAAATGGTAAAGATACTTGATTGCCATAATTTGGTGAATCTTAGAACACTCAGTTTGTGCTACAAATAGGGAATTTGCCAAAAATAATTATCTATGTCTATGCTTCTCCTCCTTCTAAAAAAGATCTAAAGTGCCATAAAAGACAGTAAAAACAACCCCCAAAATACTCCTGAATAAAACCAGAAAACAAAATCCCAATAAGTAGAAATTATAAACTACAAATAAAATTCCATAAAGTGTGTTTAGTCAGTATAGAAGGAATGCTGACCAAAGCAGTTTATACGTTCAGAAATAAATTCATTTTGGGGGCACCTGAGTGGTTTAGTCGGTTAAACATTTGCCTTTGGCTCAGGTCATGATCCCTGGGCGAGCCCACATTGGGCTCCCTGCTCGTCGGGGAGTCTTATTCTTCCTCTGCCCCTCCCCCCGCTTGTGCACTCACTCTCGTTCTTTTCTCTCTCAAAATCTTTAAAAATAAATACTTTTTTTTTTTTTTTAAAGATTTTATTGATTTGTTTTTTGACAGAGAGAGACACAGCGAGAGAGGGAACACAAGCAGAGGGAGTGGGAGAGGGAGAAGCAGGCTTCCCGCAGAGCAGGGAGCCTGATGCGGGGCTCGATCCCATGACCCTGGGATCATGACCTGAGCTGAAGGCAGACGCTTAACGATTGAGCCACCCAGATGCCCCCAATAAATTCATTTTTGAATAAAAAGAACGAACTTAAATTGGTGATGCTAAGGAGATGATTTATGTCCTGTTTATCTGATGCACATTGCTTCAGACCGCTTTTGTCAGAAGCACAGCTTACACTTGCTTGGTTAGGTATAATATGTGAGAAATCCTGCTAATTATCAAACGTAGACTTAATTGCAGGGAGAGTAAGCATTTTAAGAGAAGGCTATTAAAATATATAAATGTGGGGCGCCTGGGTGGATCAGTCGTTAAGCGTCTGCCTTCGGCTCAGGTCATGGTCCCAGGGTCCTGGGATCGAGCCCCGCATTGCGCTCCCTGCTCAGTGGGGAGTCTGCTTCTCCCTCTTCCACTCCCCCCGCTTGTGTTCCCTCTCTAGTTGTGTCTCTCTGTCAAATAAATAAATCTTTAAAAAAATATAGAGAGAGATGTACCATTTATTTTTCTTAGTTCTGAAATTGAAATATGTTGAGTGCTGTTGCTGTTATGGCACTATAAAGTAATATTTTAATTACATACGATTCTTCTACATCATGACTGATCTGACACACGTTCTGGCTCTTGGTGTATTATTGAAAGTATTAGTTTATTATTGTGGGTTTTTAGTTCCAGTCCATTTTTGTTTTCATAGGCTGCATCTTCAAATCTAGCCATCTGATTGATCGGCTTGCATGACCTTAAGGATCAGGAAAGAATGTATGGATGAATCATTATAAATTTATCGCCACCACTAGGAAAAGAAGTCAGAATGGAAGTCTTTCCCATAGTGGTTCAGCATATCCACTCTCTGTAATTTTTCATTAATATTGCTTGGCTGCATCCTTGACAGAAAATTTCCAATCAGAAAGGTGCCTGGGTGGTTCAGTCGGTTAAGGGTCCAACTCTTGGTTTCCGCTCAGTTCATGATCTCACAGTTGTGGAATCGAGCCCTGCATTGGGCTCTGTGCTCCGTGTGCAGTCTGCTTCAGATTGATTCTCTCTCCCCCTCACGCTCTCTCAAATAAATAAATAAATAAATAAATAAAACCTTTAAAAAAAGTTTTTAATCAGAGCAGTTTTGTATTTTTTAAGCATGTTGTGGTTTTTTTTTTTTTTAAGGTTTTATTTATTTATTTGACAGAGACAAAGCGAGAGAGGGAGCACAAGCAGGGGGAGTGGGAGAGGGAGAAGCAGGCTTCCTGCAGAGCAAGGAGCCTGATGCAGGGCTTGATCCCAGGACCCTGGGACCATGACCTGAGCAGAAGGCAAGACGCTTAACGACTGAGCCACCCAGGCGCCCCAAGCATGTTGTATTTTTTAAGCACTATGTAATATTTTTTGTTTAAAATGAATATGCAAGTGAATCCTTGTTTTATTAGAAGTCATAAATAGAAGTTATAGTAGGGGCAATAAGTAACAGTACAGAAACATTATGCTTAGAGAAGGACTTTTTGCAGGGCAGAGTTTAGCTCTGTGAGTTCATGGATTGGCTCCAGTTTATTCTGCATATGAGAATCTGCCTGACTTTATATGACTAGTTGGGAATCCACCTGCAGGTAACTCAGAGATTTGGAGTGAAAGGGAAGATAGAGGTAGTTGACACCATCCAGTTCCCATAGTAAGATGATGCATCTTAGTGAAATATCCTAAAATACTATATATGTGTAAGTAGCTTTTACTCTTTTCAGTTTAATGTTTTACAGGGCTTTAGGATTTTAATTTTCTAGAAGGCAAGAATTGTGCCCATGTAAATTTTAACATATAGGTTGTCTGAGTTTATAAGTTGTTGACAATTTAATGCTTTCAATGAAGAAGCACAAGATATGTATTTTAGAAAGTAGAGCTGCTTCCCTTTTTCATGAGTTTTTGTGGCTCTATATGTTTCCTTAATCTGATGTCAAAGTGCCTGTAATATGCAGCATGGTCCCTGGGATGTAGAATGTTCTAAATAAATCATTCTAAATAAATGCTTGAGTCATTCTTGAATTGCCTTTTTTCCTTAGAATTACCTCAAAGTTCATATTAAAGTACAGCATGCATCACAGACTTCCCACTCCATGTACTAACTAACTACTCTTCAATGTGGAGCATATTTCGCTCCACATCGATGGATCTTAGGAACTTCCTTGGAGTAACCGGAAAAGTATTAGATCATTTTTCACATCCTGTCTTATAATTGCATTAAATTAATTGAAAATTATTTGTATTTTGTAGACTGCTGAACAAGAAACTAAAGGCCTTCCGAGTAAGAAAGGAATTGTACAGTCTATTGTTGGTCAAGGCTATCATCGTAAAATAGTTCTGGCATCACAGTCCATACAGAATACTGTATATAAGTAAGTATTTTGCAAAGAGAAACTATAGATATTTAATATTTCACATAATGTTATTTATAAAAATATGCTTAAGACTTACCACTTTATAGGAGAAATCATTTTGTAACTAGGTTTTATTGCTACTTCAACAAATAGATCCCCATATATAGGTTCACAGTGAATATTATCTGACATAAGAATTCAGTTAATTACATTTATGCTGAAACTGTTGATGGCCTAAGAGACCCTGGTCTATTCAGTACCGTTATTCAAAATGTCCAGAAGAGGGCATCTTGATGTTTCTTTTTTTATATAATTTATCATTGATGCTTTTTATTTAGGTATTTTCTTATAGTCCCTAAAGCTAATTCTTAGTATTTAGAGAGAAAAGTACTAATACATAAAGTAACCAAAGCATTATAAAGCTGTCACATGTAAACCTTCAGTTGAGTAACTTTTAAATATGAACATCTTTATCTTGTATAAAGATTCCAAGTTGGAGTTGCTATTATTTCTAAAGTAGTAGGCTTTATAAAAAAAAAAAAAAAAAATTGGCTGTACTTTTTCTTTTCCAAAAAATAAAAATGTTCCACTACCATTTAAAAGTTCTCCCAGGGGCGCCTAGGTGGCTCAGTTGGTTAAGTGACTGCCTTGGGCTCAGGTCGTGATCCCAGGGTCCTGGGATCGAACCCTGCATCAGGCTTCCTGCTCGGCGGGAAGCCTGCTTCTCCCTCTTTCACTCCCCCTGCTTGTGTTCCCTCTCTCGCTGTCTCTGTCACTCTCTCTCTCTCTCTCAATTAAATAAATAAATAAAATCTTTAAAAAATAAATAAAAGTTCTCCCAACGTTTTAAAATAGTAACTGGCACACAATATTTTGGTCTTAATTTATTTCAACTATAATGCAGATTTTTTTTTTAAGACTTAAGATAAAGGATCATTTTCCTAAAATTTCAAAATTATTACTACTTTTCACCTTTTGAACCAATAGAAAGTTATATAAAATCTCAAAAAAATTGCAAGACAAATTTACAAATAAAGCATTTTCAAAAGCAAGGATCAACCAAAACAAGGCTCAGATGTGAAAATCTTTTCAATTCTTACTATACTTGCCCTTGCCCTCGTTATAATTTTCCTTGTCTATAACTCTTGTGTTACATTAATGACGACATTGCAGATAACCTTCAAGTTGGTTTCCATCCTTAGTTCCATTCCTAGAGATACATCTTGTATGACGTGTATACTTGCTATGTATTATTCATACTTTTAAAATTTTTGTGTGTAATATTTAGGATTTAGGTTCTTTACGATTCTCTTATAACTGCTTATTTTCAAATTTCTACCTGTCAGCAAATTTTCATTTCCAGTTATATTGGTTTTATTCCTGATAATAGAAAAGTCTTATTTATTTTAAGTTATTTACTTAGCTAATTTGTTTTCGTTTTTTAAGTGATGGACAGTCTTCAGCCATTCCTGTAGCCAGTATGGAGTTTGCAGCCATTTGTCTCAGAAATGCCTTGTTGCTGTTACCCGAAGAACAGCAAGATCCGAAGCAGGAAAATGGGTCTAAAAATAGTAATCAATTAGGTGGGAACACGGAGAGCAGTGAAAGCAGTGAAACTTGCAGGTATTCTAATCCCTTTGACCCCCTTTGGTGAAGCCCCTCAGGACTTCATTAGTAAGCCTCTTTGTCCTTTAGATGAATTCCTAAAATCTCCAGCCGAATTTCCTAAATCCCCTGTTTTGAATAATAAGAAAGGAAAGTATGAATGTTAAGTATTTCTGGAAGAGAGAGCGACTGTGAAGACTAAGTGAGGAGAGAACCTAAGAAAAGTGGAAAGAGGGGCGCCTGGGTGGCTCAGATGGTTAAGCGTCTGCCTTCGGCTCAGGTCATGATCCCAGGATCCTGGGATCGAGTCCCATATCGGGCTCCCTGCTAGGTGGGGAGCCTGCTTCTCCCTCTGCCTCTCTCTCTCTCTCTCTCTCTCACTCACACTCTCTGACTCTCATGAATAAATAAATAAAACATTTAAAAAAAAAAGTATTGCTGCTGAGCCTGGTGACATTTATAAAAAAAAAGAAAAAGAAAAGTGGAAAGAAACAACTTTTCATTGATAGGAGGAATAGTTGTAAAGAAATCCTGTTGCTCTCCCAGATAGCATTTTGTTTTTATGTTTATTAAAGTAAATACTTAAATCCTAAAATTTCTCCTTTTTTCTTAACGTATGCCTTTTCTCTTAACATACCATAAACTGTTAACCTCAAGAATATTTCTACTAATTTCTAGTTTTTTAGTATAAGTTAAATATTAACCAGTCTCTAGAAATTAAGAGAGCTTCTCATAATAATAAAACACCATTATATATAAAGTTGTTTTTACACATGGCACCTTTAAATTCAAGTCTTTCATCCCAGCGTTTTTTTCTTGATTATGATAGAAATACATGTATTAAAGAAAATTTGAAACAAAATTGTGGGGGTTTTTTGTTTTTTCCTCCATTGGGGTTATGTTTTACTGTAGTTGATAAAAAGCAATCAGAAGACCGAGAAATGTGTGAAAATACAGAAGTGGTTTCCTTTGTAGAAATATTGTTTACAATTAGAAATTTTTAAAAACAGCATTGTGTACTGGAGGAAAGAAACTGAAATACAGTATAGCTTCAGCACACTGGTTGCTAAGCATTTTGCATTCGTTGTTTTTGGTTCTTGTATATTTTTGGCATAAAAAATTGCATGGGAGTGGGGGTAGGGAAATAATTTTATATTTAATTGTTTATTTGCTCTTCATAATTTAGAGTCTGTCTTTATTTTAGCAGTAAAAGCCATGATGGAGATAAATTCATTCCAGCTCCACCTTCTTCTCCATTGAGAAAACAGGAATTAGAAAACTTAAAGTGAGTATCTAAACAAAATTAGGGGCTGCTGGGTGGCTCAGTCCTTAAGCTTCTGCCTTGGGCTCAGGTCATGATCCCAGGATCCTGAGATTGATCCCCGCATCAGGCTCCCTGCTCGGCGGGAGGCCTGCTTCTCCTTCTCCCACTACCCCCTGCTTGTGTTCCCTCTCTCGCTGTGTCTCTCTCTCTGTCAAATAAATAAATAAAATCTTTAAAACAAAAATTAGTATAGCATCTATTGCATGTTATTTTTAATCTTCTTTATTTTGTTAATGTTATGGATTATATTGATAGAATGTCAAATGTTAAACCAACCTTTCAATCTTGTGATAAACCCCGCTAGTCACAATGTATTATCTTTTTTTATAAATTGTTGGATTCAGTTTTTTAATATTTTGTTAAGAATATTAGCTTCTTGGGCGCCTGGGTGGCTCAGTTGGTTAAGTGACTGCCTTCGGCTCAGGTCATGATCCTGGAGTCCCGGGATTGAGTCCCACATCGGGCTCCCTGCTCGGCAGGGAGTCTGCTTCTCCCTCTGACCTTCCTCCCTCTCATGCTCTCTGTCTCTCATTCTCTCTCTCGCAAATAAATAAAATCTTTTAAAAAAAAAAATTAAAAAAAAAAAAAAAGAATATTTGCTTCTTGGGTGCCTGGCTGGCTCACTTGGTGGAGCATGCAACTCTTGATCTTAGGGTTGTGAGTTTGAGCCCCACGTTGGATGTAGAGATTACTTAAAAATAAAATCCTAAAAGAAAAAAGGCCATTTTTTACCACATAATTACCACTTCTGGCTGATTCTATTTCCATAAGATATCATTTCCCTTCATTCTGAGGCTCCTCCTTCAACATTTCTTACAATACAGGTCTTAATTTTCCTAGGGTTTTGGGTTTTTTTAATCTGTTTAAATCTACAATTGTCTTTATTTCATCTTCATTCTTAGAGGATATTTTCACTGAAAACAGAACTCTAGATTGGTAGAGTTTGTTTTTCCTTTCAGTCAGCTCTTTGAAGAAGTCACTGCATTAACTTCAACTTCTGTTATTTCTGATTAGAAATTTAGAGTCATTGTACTGAGGTGCCCTTTTTCTATCTATAGATTGTCTGTTTTTCAGCAATTAGACTATGATGAGTCTGAATGTGATTTTCTTCATTTTTACTCTTGCCTTGGAGTTAGTGGACTTTATAAATTTATCTTTCAACAAATTTGATATATTTTGACCATAATTTCTTTTTTTTTTAAGATTTTATTTATTTATTTGACAGAGACAGCGAGAGAGGGAATACAAGCAGGGGGAGTGGGAGAGGGAGAAGCAGCCCTCCCGCGGAGCAGGGAGCCCGATGTGGGGCTCAATCCCAGGACCCTGGGACCATGACCTGAGCCGAAGGCAGATGCTTAATGACTGAGCCACCCAGGCGCCCCGACCATAATTTCTTCATATTATTTTTGAGTTAGGCTGAATGATATAGCATTACTTTTAAGAATGATTTCAATAATAGAACTGAAAACTAAAATGAAAAAAAGCCATTATTTCTTTTATTATTATTATTATTTTTTTAAGAACCATCATTTCTTACGTTTTGCCTATTGCAAAAGAGTGACAGAAGTACATTTAAACATATATGTGTTGCTGGTAGCATTGTCAATTAATGGATGACTTTTGGAAAACATTTATTTATTCCCATTTTTTTCTGACAAACAGTGCTAGCCTTGGTACAGAGGTACAGAGGAATTAGAGATAGAGGGAAAAAAAACTGCCTTCAAAAGCAGATGGTGAGGAGCATCTGGGTGGCTCAGTTGGTTGAGTGTCCGACTCTTGATTTCAGCTCAGGTCTGATGTTAGGATTGTAGGATCAAACCCCACGTGGGGCTCCATGCTCAGTGGGGAGTCTGCTTCTGTCTCCCTCTCCCTTTGCCCCTCCCCCAGCTTGCACACTTGCTCTCTCGCTCTCCCACTCAAATAAATAAATCTTTAAAAAAAAAAAAAGAAGATGGCAAACACTTAGGACAAAATGATATTAATTAGTAGCTTAGTTATTAGGTCGTGAGATTTGGGGTGTCTCTTTTATTCGTGTGATATTTTATTACCCTGAGAAGTAAAAAATGACCTCATTTAAAAATTTTGCATTTCTTTCAGTCTGCTCAAGGTGCTCAGTCTGATGCCAAGGTTAACTGATGGCTTGTATTTCTTTTTCTTTGAACCTCCTGTTTGTAGAATTTACCATTTTCATATCGGGTTTTTCATCCTTTTTGTTTTTGTAAGAGTTCTTGTATGTTACAGAAATTGGCCTTTTATCATTTCTGAGATTTATGCTTTTAGTTGTAAAACAGAATTCCATAAGTATTCATGTAATGTGTAGAAAGGCCTTCTTGCCTCCAAGGATGAGAGAATAATTCACCTATGTGTTCTAGCACTGTCACAACCACCAATATAAATTTGTTTCATCTAGAATGTATTTTATAGAAATGAATAAGGTAGGGGCACCTGGGTGGCTCAGTTGTTAAGCGTCTGCCTTCGGCTCAGGTCATGATCCCAGGGTCCTGGGATTGAGCCCCGCATCGGGCTCCCTGCTCCGTGGGAAGCCTCCTTTTCCCTCTCCCACTCCCCCTGCTTGTGTTCCCTCTCTCGCTGTGTCTCTCTCTGTCAAATAAATAAAATCTTTAAAAAAAAAAAAGAAATGAATAAGGTAGGGATCTATCTTTACTGTGTGTAATTTTTCATAGTATAGTCCATTTGATTAACTTCATTTAACTTTCAAATAAAGCATGCAACAGAACTATAAAATGTTAAGATTTTATGTCTAAACAGTTTAAAATTACAATTTTATAAAATAACATGTATATGTTTATTTGCGTGAAAAAATTGGAGGGATCTATGTCAAAACCTTCATGGTGGTTATCCCTGGATAGTGGAATAACTGATGATTTTTGTTTTCTTATTGGATATCTGTTTTTTCTAACTCTTTAAAAAGGAGGCTATTTCATTAATGTTAGTGAAGCCCCTCCTTGCATGCCTAGTGTTTTTGGAGGAATATTGGCCAGCAGGATATGTCCTTTTCTCTCTCTCTCTCTCTCTCTTTTTTTTTTCCATTTAAATAAAGATGTGCCCTTTTTTTTTTTTTTAAGATTTTTATTCATTTGTTTTGAAAGAGAGAGAGTGTATATGTATGTGTGTGAGAGATCGCGAGAGAGCAGGGGGCGGGGCAGAGGCAAAGGGAGAGAGAATCTCAAGCAGACGCCACACCGGGTGCAGAGCCTAACATAGGGCCCAGTCCCACAACCCCAAGATCATGACCTGAGCCAAAATCAAGAGTCAGGTGCTTAACTGACTGAGCCACCCAGATGTCCCCAAGATGTGCCCTTTTCTGATCATATTCTGTCAGATCAACATGTTCATGCCAGGGCATTGCTGTCCATGAGCACAGGGCTCCATGCACCATTCTCACCTAGACAACAACTTTTTATTTCTTTATTTTATTCTGTTGAAGTGTACCATAAATTCCCACTTAGCATTAATGCCCTCTCTGTCCCGGGTTTTATTATGAGGAGGAAAGAATTAATCCTCTGATTATATGGAGGATTAAATCTCATGTTTAGTTAGAAATGAGTTGGTCATTTAAGATTTTGAATGTAGAGTTTTGGTTTTTTGAAACTTGACAAAGTTAATTAAATGTTTTCTTGGGGCACCTGGGTGGCTCAGTCAGTTGAGCGTCTGCATTTGGCTCAGGTCATGATCCCAGGGTCCTGGGATCGAGCCCCGCGTCGGGCTCCCTGCTCTGCGGGGAGCCTGCTTCTCCCTCTCCCACTCCCCCTGCTTGTGTTCCCTCTCTCGCTGTCTCTCTCTCTGTCAAATAAATAAATAAAATCTTTAAAAATAAATAAATATAAAAAGCAGTCAAATTTCAACCATATAACTAAAACCATGCTAGATTTTTGTCCTGAATGGAAATTTGAAAAAACAACGCAAATTAAGTAAAGCTAATCTATATTTGGTATAACTTAAGCTCATGGGAAAGAGGTGGATTGTAGTGCTCAGCCAGGACAATATTTGGGACAATGCTTTGATTTGCCAAAAAAATGTACTGTTTTCCCCCAGTGTCCCTCATGTTTTCTAGAGATGTCTTTCTTTATGGATCCACCTGCATTTTATATTTATCTAAGGGGTTCATCTATTTTTAATAGGTTATTGTGTGTGATAAAAATCTTAGTACAAAAAGTTACATAGTGTAGGGGCGCCTGGCTGGCTCAGTCAGAAGAATGTACGACTCTTGATCTCAGGGTCGTGAAGTTTGAGCCCCATGTTAAGGTGTATAGATTACTTAAAAATAAAATCTTAGAAAGAAAAAAAAGTTGGATAGTATAAGTAAAATTTGACCCATCCCAGTCCTCTGTTTCTAAGATCTTCCCTGAGGGGCGACCAGTTACCAGTTTCTTGTATGTCCTTCCAGTGAGATTTCTCATTCCTGTGCCAGCGTATGTATATATGGTAATTTTTACACTAGCACTAGCAATTGGATAGTGTCCCCATCTTGTTCCATACCCTACTTTTCCCATTTGACAATGTATCTTTAGAAATTGCTCTTCCTTGGTACAAAGCTCTGTTTCATTCTTTCTAATAGGTGCATAGAATTGCATTATATGGATATGACATACTTCATCATTCCTTTATATTTAGTTGTTTATAATGTTTGTCTTTGATGTTACAAATAATGCTGCAGTGAGTATCATTGTACAGTTTTTAAGGAGAATCCTTAATAAGGTATTTTATTTTATTTTTATTTTTTTAAAGATTTTTATTTATTTATTTGAGAGAGAGAATGAGATAGAGAGCATGAGAGGAGGGAGGTTCAGAGAGAGAAGCAGACTCCCTGCCTAGCAGGGAGCCCGATGCGGGACTCGATCCTGGGACTCCAGGATCATGACCTGAGCTGAAGGCAGTCGCTTAACCAACTGAGCCACCCAGGCACCCCCTTAATAAGGTATTTTAAACAGTTTTTAAAT